CCCCAAAACCCCAAAACCCCAAAACCCCATAAAGACAAAATATAGTTTTGCTTTTCAAAAAAAATAAATTGATAACTTCTTGTTAAGGCTTTTTAATCAATAAATGTCTACTTCCGCAACATTGCTAATTTTAGGCAATTTTTATTTTTAAGCCTACTATAATTACTTTGCTTTCTATTGTTGTATAGTAGAATTCTATTTGTTACTACCATTTTTATCAATACTCTTAGAAACTGGCAAAGTTTAGTTATTTCTCTTTACTACCACATTTGCTTTCTCAATGTCTGATTCATCTGATTAAGAACTTTAATCACTCTAGGACTCATTTTCCTCACTGTCAGAGTTACTATATCTATCACCTTTCTTACTATTTTTGTTCTTATTCTTATCTTTCTTACTATCTTTTTACTTATTTTGTTTAGATGAATTATCATATCTGTCGCTTTACCTGCTATGACTCTTTGAACTGTAAGCATCACTGATTATGTTATGTTTTCCTTTAATAATTTTCTCTCCTATTACTATACTACTGTTGCGATTATTAATGTTTGGGATACTTATATCGCCTGAAATCTTGATTTAGTTATTTCTTAAGTTTTAAACTGATTAGTTTACCTATCTTATGTCATAGGGGTTTAAAGCTGGATCATAATTCTTAAGTCTTTTTTTATCTAGTGCACCAGGAAGGCTACTTTAATCATTAATCATTGAGCTGTTTCTTAAATGCATCACACCACCTGCTGAGTTATAATTTCCAATTATTGAATTATTACCTCCTCTATCATAACTCATATTGTTATTTCTAGTCTTAAGCTTTTAAACGAAATTTTTGCTTAATCTAGTTTGATCTTGGATATTAGTATAGAGTTTATTACCTCTTGTAATTTCAATTGATCTATGATTTATATCTGAGTGACTTGTATCAGATGCCTACTAATATTTCATCTCTGATATTGACTACTTTTTCATTTTCATTACATCAAGTTTATAGCTTTCTAATTCAAGCATTAGTTTTTAATTCTCAATGCTAATATCTAGAATTTTCTGATGTTTTTCATCTGTATCTAGCTTTAACTACCATAACTTTTTATCGGTTTTATCAATATATTTCTCATAATTTTGCAAATCATTTGATTTTTTCTTTTTTAAAGTATCTATAAATCCTTTTATCACACTCTAAATTAATATAAATACTAGTTAAATCTTACTTTAGGAGATTCAATAGGATCTTTAAATTATTACCCACCTTGCCCTTGTCCAGATGACTTCATAGCTGTAAGTTATAGTTTTAATTAAAGATTTTAATAATGAATCCTCAGGACTTCTTTCCTATGATATTCATCATTAACATCTTCCCTGTAGTTATTAACACTCTTCATGTATTTATATCTTTGTTTGAGTTATTATACTTCTTAAATCATATTTTTCATCTAAAATGTTTTATTAGTCAAATTTTACATTATCATATTTGGATCTATCAACATTCTACAGGAATATTTCATTTAGTTAAAATTCACTTGCATTTTCGTAACCTTTTCTCCTATGATTTAGTTATTCTATTTCAAGTTATGTTGCTTTTATCATATTTTCTAGTTCAATGTTGTTATTTCCTTTTTCAACTAAAGCCAGACTATTCTTGAGTCTTTCAATTTCTTTTTTCTAGCCAGCAATTATTCCCTAGGTGACGGCTATTTAAACAACCCATTCTAAAAGGATAATTTTCAAATTGGATTTATACTTGATAGTTATTGATCTTCAGGATTTAATTCAAATCTGTGAGATTTAGGCTTAAATCTTGGACTCTCTAGCTTGTTTAATAAATGATTCAACTCATTTAATTATGTCTAAACTTTCTCTATATGCGATTCAATTTTCCTATTCTGCTTTTCTAGTTTCTCAATTTAACCACTATATATAAAGTTAAATTATTCGTGATTTGTATAGACTTACTCTTAATCTAGATCCTGCCTTTTAAATTCATTATTTTGCTCTTGAAAGTAATCCTTAAAGTCATCGTCATCATCATCATTCGATTTATCATTTGTTCTTTTAATTGTTGATTGAGAGTCAATTTTGAAAGTTACATTCCTAGATCTGCTTTTTGATTTTTGATTTTTCCTATCTTTAGATGAATTCTATGATTCAGACCCAGATGAAGATGAAGAAGAGGAATCAGATGATGAATCCTCTGAAACGCTTTCTATTGAAGAATAAGTCTGTTATCTATCATTTAGACTATCTTTTGGTGATTTATTTTTTCTTTTCTCTCTAATCTCTCTTCTTTATTGTCTATCTTACCTTCTTTGTCTCTTTACTTCCTTTTCTTCTTAAGTTTTTTTTATTTTTGGATTTCCATGCTAATCAACTTTTGTCCTCGATTTTGATCTCTCTTAACCTATAACCTTCAAGCTTGACTTTAATGGTGTTTAATAGTTTCCATCTTTCGAATGAAAATTTTTTTAACTAGCTGAATGCTTCTTCCCCTTTAAATCCTTTTTGGAGCCATTTTTTGTCAGTAATTTGTTTGATTTGCTATTCTCAGGGGTTTTCAAATCCTTTTTACTATCATCTTTGTTTCCTCCCTTGTATAGATTTTCTAAATAATCCAAATTTTTCTACTTTTTAGTACTTTTTCTTTTTTTCATCTCCAAGTACTCTTCAAAATCCATTTCTCCATCATCATCTTTCCCTTTAGGAGTTTTTTTAGCTTTTTAATCTTTTGATTTATCTTTGCTTTTAAGAGGATCCTTTGACTTATCTCTTTTTTAAGAATGCTCTGATTAATTGTCATCTTTACCATGAGTTTTAACACTACTTTTTTTCTTATGTAATGGTTTATCATCGTCATCATCTTTATCATGTTTATCAAGATGATGATTTTTCTCTGCCTTTTGAGGTTTATCCAATTTCTTTTGCTAATGAGCTTTGCTGTTATTTTTGTGATCATCATCCTTTTCTTCACTAATGTGCTTCTAACTGCTTTATGATTTAGTCTAATGCAAACTGCTGGCATGATGATTAGCAGACTTAATCTAATCATTTCGATTTTTGCTTCTTTGCGTATCTCTGCCATCTGAATCATCATCTTTCCCTCTATTCATGCTTTTTCGTGATGGCTTGCTACTTTCATCATTTTTTGTCAGTTTTTACCTCTGCTTTTAATTTTGATTATCATCATCGCTATCCTTTCCTTGGTGTTTCTTTTTGTCAGTCTTAGTACTGTGGTTATTTCTGTTCTAACTACCATCATTGTCTCTGTTTTTATCCTGACGCTTTTTATCAAGATCATTTTAATGGCTTTTAGGCATTTTCCTATAAGTTTCAACCTCCGAATCATCCTTTTCTTCTCTCCTTTTGCTATGGCTCTTTTTATCTTCATGGACTTTTTATTCCTTTTTTGATTTTCTTTTTGAATTAGAATTATCTGTATCAGATTCAACATCATTTTACTATAATCGATTCTTTTCTTTTAATTTTTTATCTTTGCTCTTTCTATCTTTCATATTTTTATGACTATGTTCTTTGTCACTATCTTAATTGTCAGAATCATCGCTAGAATCACGTCTATTATTAGTATTATGTACCTGTTTTGAATGATGATTCTAATTTTAATTGTAACCGTTGCTATATTCATGATTATTAGATTAGTGATATTAATTTTAATGTTAGCTACTGTAATTATTATGGTCCTAACTATGGTTCAATTTTGAGTTTGAATTTTCAAGATCTAGAGCAGCTTGCCTTCTTCTAAACATTACAACATCAATTGGCATTGCATCTTGTCTAATTTTGTTTTACTGCGAATTTGTCTAGTACTAGTTATTATACTGCTCGTGCTATTATTGATTGTAGTGATTACTCTAAAATCAACATTAAAAAGAATGCTTTACCATATAATTGAATAAGCTTTTATTATTTAATTTGTGATAAGGTCTGCTACATAATATTCTTCGAAAACTTAACATTGCGGGGTTTTGGGGTTTTGGGG